AGTGACCACTAGCCAGAGTGAGAGAGACCTGATTGAGAGTGAGAGTGACTCGGCGAGCATCAATGAGAGGAGAGATGATTAGGCGTCATACCCCTGCCTCACACGCGCTAGCAGACGTGTTCGGTGCCCACACGCCCCCTGGTGACCAGCACTTACACCCACACCTCCCAAAAATACCACTGGAAACTGGGACAAGTCGTCACCGAAGCCGAGATGCGGTTGGAGGGAGGCACGTTCTCAGGAGCCGCTGGGGGTGTTGAGTGAGAGGGAGAGCCACAGACAGATTGGGGAGAAACTGGAAACGCCGTGTGCGACGACGCTTCGTTCGGCCGGATGTGTTGACGGGCAAATCCCAGTCAGCCCTTTTTCATATTGCGTGTTTACCTTTACACTACGCCTTTTTATTTTCTTTCTACTTGCTCAGTGGAGACAAACGGCTCTCAGTTCCCCTGGGGAGTGAATGCAATTGTATGAATTTCCATCCAGTCGCAGAGCAGCTTTTCATCTGTAAAGTGGTCCACGTGTTGTCAATCAGAGTGAGACTGAGAGTGATGCTCTCACTGAGGCACGCTACTGAGCTCATTCCAAACCCACTGAAGTCTGAGGGGACGGAAAGACCCAGAGGCGGAGTGAGAGGCTGGCGTGAGAGTGAGAGTGAGAGGGGCCACGGGCGGGCGGCTGCACCCACTTTAACCTTCTTTCCTCGCTTCCATTCGTTCTTTGCCGGCCCTGTGCCGCCAATTGCGATGCCGACCACGTATTTCTCCTACTCTCTCTTTTCTGCCATGCTACGGATATTCGTATGGATACCCACGGTACACTGCTGGCTGGTCTTCCTCCAGCGTGCTGTGCTGTCGAGAGTTCCATTTCTCGTCGTCCCCTCATCCTTGGTCGTGCCGGCGGTGATCAACCACTCGTGGTCTTGATCGTCCCTCCCACCGCTCGTCCCACACCCCCCTTCCAGTCGTTTTCTTCTCACCGCACCTTTGACCGCCGGGCAGAATAGCAGCCCAGCAGCAGAGGAGCAGCGCAATTACCTATGTATTCCATTGTAACATTGATGGAACTGCAGTAACATTTGCAATACCGAAAGAGCAGTGAATGTCATTGTGTTTTGCCTCGTGTTTGTTAGTGGCGGCTGTTTCTTGACTGCCAGCTCATCATCACCACCACTACTCACTCACTTGTACTTTGCTCTCAGTCTCACTCTCAAATTCACTCTTTTCGGTCTCTCACTCTCACTCCCACTCGTCAGTCTCAATCACACCCTCCATCCAACCCCAATGCTGCTTAATCCTCGGCCAATCCAAACCATCTCACAGTTTTCCCAAAAAGACACTGGACAGAAACACCCACACCCCCATCCTTCCATCCATCCCGCACACCACCACATCATCATCGCAACACACACGCAACGCACGTCCACCACCCACCACGACCACCCACACACCAACATCCTCGCACCCCCTCCCCTCCCCTTCCCATCCACCATCATTCATCCACCCTCACATCCATCTCCATCCTCCATCCCTGCTCGTCTAGCGTGCTCTGTCTTGCCTGTTCCACCGACATTACCAGCTCGCTGTGGAGACGCCGCAAAGCCTCACTTCCATGACTGGACATTCGTTGCGCTGCTGATCCTGTCGACTTCTTTAAACCACTGGCCTCTCGCCGTCCGCCTTCCCGAATTCTCCTGCGATCGTCTTCCTATTCGAAGCCACAGACTTCCCTGTACCATCGAACATCAACTCGCCTCAACCCGCCTCGCCAAACTTCAAGACAAGTCAACCTTGAATCCTGCTGCTCGCACAAATCTTCGAGACCCCCCAACAATCCACCAAAAGAGTCTCGAATACCAGGAAACAAATCTTGACTCCCGCTGGGTCTTATTGTTTCGCCGCGCAGCACCAGCCATACTCCATAGAAAGACAAGACCAAGAACCAAACAACAGCGTTTTGTCTTGCTTGTCTCGCTCCTAGGAAAACAATTAATTTTTCCCGCCCGGTTTCCACAAGTTCGTCACTCGGGAGACCTTGAATGCGTTGGAGAAAGAAGAACGAGGCTGCAGCAACATCGTGTCACATCACACCTCGTCTACTACCGACGTCTAACACCACACTCTATCCCTCCGTCTTGACTCGGACGGCCTTGAATTCCTCAACCGAGTGGTAGCCCGACACGCTTCACTCTTCCTCACCATACCCAACCCACCCTAGCTGCTACGCCCATCACCCCGCTGTTCTCCGCCAACTTGAGCCAACATGAACCATCCTTACAATAACGTCCAGGAGATTCAGAGGCAGATGCAACAGAAGCAACAAGAGCTGGCAAATCTCCAAAACCTTCTTCTTCAGCAAAATGCATCAGTGGCACCGCAAGCTGCCCAGAGCAATTTCAACCTGCTCCAATCACAAGGGGACTACCATGTAGACGCCGCCGCCTTCACACAACACCAACAGCCCAATGCTGCTCCTCTGCTCAACCGCAGGGCCACAATACCCAGAAGCAAGTCCAACATGGGCTACGCTGCCCAACCCACAAGAATGATGGTAATGCATCACCACAGCTCCCATCACCATCTTCACTGCTCGTGACCATCGTGAATCAGGTGTCCGTGTGCTAACATTCTCTTCCAGGAGCGCACAAGTGATGACTCGCCCCATCCCGTAAAGCGCGCGAGGGTCATGTCCCAGCAGCACCCCCGCGCCACGCCCATGACGGGCATGTCTAGAAGTGCTTCCAACAGATCAGAAAAGTCTATCCCTTTTGTCGTCAAGGGCCCTCTACAGCCCCTCCAGACGTCAAATAACCCCAATCCCATGATGGACCGCTTCTACCAGAGCCAAGATGACCCTCATGTCCTATTCGAGTCCTCCCTTCAGCGATCGCCAATAAATAAACGACACTCGGGTCTCTCGCCTGTCGAAGAGAACGCAGGTTTCCCAGAGGTCGGCATGAACCCTCTCGACTTCCTCGCTGCGCAAGACGAGAGCATACCATCTCCAGCCATGGTCCCGCCGCCGCAGAACTTCCTGACGCCCTACGATGGCCGGAATTCACAGGCCAGCCTCATCAACTCGGTTTGCCCGTCCATGAGCTCTGGCACATCGGCTGCCGAGACCATGCCTCTTACGAGGGAGAACAGCTCTTTTGACAACCAGTCACTCAGCGGCGCATTCGGTATGACGAGAATTAACTCGGCACATTCCCAAGGTGCTGCCGACTTCATGTCTCCGGAAGTTTACGCTGTCCCCTCCGGCACGTCACCGAATAAGTCAGATTACCTCGCCTATGTCGGCGCGGGCACTAGCCTGTCGCCTCAATATCCTCAGCAGTCGCCCATTGATGAGCAGTTCCTCAGCCAAGGCTCCTCGATGATGGAGCGCTCTATTTCCGCCACTAGCAACGCATCCACCAAGTCAAGCACCGAGCGCAGGGCAAAAGAAGCACGCCTCCAGCAGATTCAGAATGCGAACCGCACAAAGATCTGCCCTAAGCCTCACGACGCTGTCAAGTCCCAGTCAGCTTCTACTAAGAAGGAAGGCAAGGTTGCTGTCTCTAAGGGTAGCTACACCCGTCCCAAGCACCCCAAGGTGTTCTGCGACATGTGCAGCGATCACCCCGATGGCTTCCGCGGCGACCACGAGTTGCGCCGACACATCAACGCTAAGCACGAGGGCATCGTCAAGAAGTTTGTATGCCGCGACCCCAGCACGGTCGGCATGCAAAGTGGCGTTCAGGCTATCAACCCGCTCTCCAAGTGCAAGCAGTGCGTCGCCCGCAAGCAATACGGCGCTTACTACAACGCCGCTGCCCATCTCCGCCGCACGCACTTCAAGCCCAAGACTCCCCGTGGCAAGAACAAGCGGGGTGACGACGAGGAGAAGCGCGGTGGTAAGGGCGGTGGCGACTGGCCCCCCATGAACGAGCTCAAGCAGTGGATGGAAGAGGTGTTTGTGGCTGCCGACGACGAGGTTGCCGAGGGCGAGGCCCAAGAGGAAGATGAGGAGGAGACTCAGGCCACTGCCCAACAGTTCGAACCCTCCATGTCGATGGACCTGTCTCTTGGCCACATGGGCGAGAACATGACCTACGACATGGGTTTCCCGCCGTCCTACCACATGCCTGAGTTGGCGGCGATCGACACTACCCAGGCCTCGTACCTGGCTGTTTCCAACATGCCGCTCTCCTCCGCGTCGGAAGCCTTTGCCTTCTCCCCGTTTGGTCAGAACTCGCCAATGAACAACGGTTTGTCGCACGAGACGGCCTTTTCCATCTCGTCGTCAAACACTGTCACACCCACCAACTACCACCAGGACCCGCTTGTCGCGGAGGGCTTTGAAGGCTACACCGCCTACTAAAGACTAATTGGGATCGTTGTTGAATTCTCACGGATTTAATTTTTCTTAATTTCGGAATATTTCACACAATCGTGTCACTCAAGTCGCACTTTTCCCCGCAAATCGTGATTGGGGTTGAGATCTGAGGCAGTTGGGCCGCGCTCAGGCGTTCATTGGGCCGACTTTCAGTTGACCATCTGCATGACGCGGCTCTGCCCAACATAGCCCTCCACCACGCGACCTCCGCAGGGTCGACCAAGAAAAAAGAAATCACGAAAAAAAGCGAGAACGGTTTTCCTTTCATTGGCAATTTTGTCATGACATCATGATCAGTACCACCACGGCTGCCCGGTGTCGTCGGCCGAGTGGAGACACTCGCTGGGTCACACCCGCGCAGCCGGATTTATTTCTATGCTCCGTCTTTTCGGTTCTCAGTCACTTCCGGACTCTCTTCGATATCGACCTATCTCTATTTATATCTCTCTCAACCGGTCGGGTCGAGATACGTTTCACAATGGCTCAGTGGAATGCGGTGACAGCATTTCGCGCCTCAAGAGCCGAATGCCTTTCGGTGGTGCAACCAAGGCCTTGAAATCATTGTTGTATATATACACACACAAACGGCCACGTTTCTGGACGACCAAGAAAGTTTCCAGCGGATGGATGAAAAGGGGTGGTGGAAGGCGAGCGGAATGGCAACCGTCGCTCCCCCGATCCCGATATGGTACACAGGCGTTGTCTCCCTCTCCGCAAGGAGAGTTTTCTTCCTTTTATTTTTGGAATTCACAATACTGTTATTTCTTGCAAGGTGTTGGGGACTTGGGAAAGGCTGTTCACGCTTTCTGGGAAGACGAAAGGGTTCGTCCCGTAGACATGTATATACATGGGTTGGATGGCAGGTTGGGTTCAAGACGCACAGCACGCGCTTGCGTTGGATGGGTTCAGGAATACGGAGAACATGTGGCAAATGTTCCACTGGGGTGTATAGCACGAAACAAGTAAACTAGGTGTTCGTCACCTTTTCCCTCATAACCTACTGTCAATACGTGATACAATCATTTGCCGAAATAGGATGGTCTCGAGCCTTGCGCCGGAAAATGTTGCTTAGTCCGCTCTATGCGGGCCTTGGGGCTTTCATATTCCACGTCAGGAGGGGGCTCATTGACCCAGATTGATCCTGATTCCGGTTGGTAACAGATCGAGTCAGATTGCGGGGATGCGATCATCTCAATCCATGGGTGACAGTGAAGGCATTGCAGGAAAGGCCTGCGAATCTCGAATCTCTAGGGATACTGTCGTAATGGCTGTTCGACTTCTATATAACCATGACAGACGAGGCGTCATTACATTTCATTATCACTGTCGTTAACCGAAACCCATCTCTAACCGCTGAAAGGAGAACATCATACGCCGCCTTGGAACTCCTTACACCGCACGAAAATACATGAACCCTAGTATGAAGAACATTAAACCACCAAAGTTCTTTAGAAATGAGTGCTTCTTTCGATCTAAGGCGTCACTAAAGCATTGCGACGCAAAAAAAACACACTAATTGTACGGATGTCTGTAGTACTGGATTGGTGAGGCAGCTGCCGGTGATCGGGGCGTCTGCTCATGCTGCCTGCTGGACGAACTCGATTCCACTGTTGGCCACGACGGTGCTGCATTCTCCGACGATGGGCCGGCGACTTGCCACCTGGGATCTCTTTGCGGGGGAGAAGACTGAGGTGACATGGGAGACACGGCGTGAGACGGGCCGTCATGTGAAGAGGCAGGAAGCTCATAGTTTGGCGTAGTTGGCATGAACGCTCCGTGATGATTCACGGAGAAATCGACTGGTGTTATTGCCAAAGGCGATGTCTGTAGAGGTGCTAGGCTATATGGTTCTTGCGGAGGTTGATTCAACGTGTTCGTCCGGAGACTGAGAACGTTGGTGGATGTACCGGAGCCTTGCCCCGGCGGGACGTGGGGAATTGAAGATGGAGACTGGGGTCCGATGCTGTATCTTAAAGTGCGATCAATGTCTGGGCATAGGCTTCCCAGGAACATTTTGTATAGATCGCCTTCAGCGTGTTCCGTATCGATTAGGTCGCTAATTGGCATTAGATTATTCCAATCGTTAAAGATACTACAGGGAAGTTGAAAGAGGTACTTACGGGCAGCCATATTTAGCCAGGTCGTCGTCGAGGCGCCGGAGTCGCTCTCTCGCTTCCTTGTCATCGCCGAACTGAACAAACTGAATTGTCACAGGTCTGATCTCTGACACGTCCTTTCGACTATGTGGCTGGCCAGGATGAATGTACGTCAGGTCGCCATGCAGATCTCTCAGACAATGGAAAGTCGATCGGAGATACGTGTCGACGGTGTATTCATCATGCATGCCCCTCCAGATGCCATCAGTCAACACAATGATGGTCTTTTTGCGTGGTTCGTACTTTGAGGTCTTTGCTCGTGTGTAGTCGTTGATGATCCGCTCGAGCTCGGGGATAATGGTGGTCTCGACAGCGGACGTCTGCGAAGTGGCTGCTGCAGGCTCTGCAAGGTCCAGCGCCTTGGTGAAAGATCTTACCGACTGGGACTTGCTACCCCTGACGGTGGCCTTTGGATTCGTGTCGGGGTTGGTGAAGTACATCTCCATCCCGTCGTCATCATACGCCAGCGCCCTCCATACCATGACCTCCAGTAAGTCGATGACTGAAGACCACCATTTCCGCATGGTAGTGCCATTGTCCACGAGGAAGACCTGTTACTTTTAGCCTACAGGGTTTTCAAACAACGTTTGAAGTACTCACGATATCGCGCCCCTTATACTCCTCCTCCAGACGAGAGTCCAGTTCAGTCAAAGCATCTAGGCTCTCCTTGCTGTTGGAGGTTTTCCCTTTTACGGAAGTCTTTTGTCGCTGAATGAGGGAACTGAGACTCTTGGGCGACGGTTTGAAACTGAGTCCTACTTTCTTCAGCTCTTGTTTGACTTGAGAAGCCTTGACAGGCTCACGTCGTATCGGACTTCTTGATCGGTGACTCGGAGATTCCGGGTAGAATGAGGTCGGGTGAGCGCTGACTGGCTGGCTTGAGGATGAGATTGCCGAATTTCCGCGTGGATGATCTGGGTACCCATAACTATGGGAGTGCGTGCTACCTTGTCTATCCAAGCTCTGCATAGGATATCTCACCGATTGATGTGGTGACTGGGTGGGGGATCCACGCGTCGTGCGTGGCCGTTGCGCTGTTGGCTGGATGGCTTGATCCATCAACTTCTTCCGACTCTCAAACTCAATCTCAGGTAAGGGCAAGTCAAACCGTTCCATCGGTTTTGTGATATCGTCTGAGTCAACTCTCTTGATTCCAGACTTATGTTCCGAAGAACGTTCAACCTCGAGTTCAATGCTTTGAAGCATATGTTGCAAGCCAGGGGGGACCTTGGAAGGGCGGGTATCGTTCTTCGCGATAATGCTTTTGAAGCTGCTGCAAACTTTCTTCGCAGTTTCCCGCCTATCTCCGGGCACAAGCATGTGGCCATCGACCATGTCCAAGATCGCGGACGTGTACAGGTCTGTCCTTCTGGCTGCTTCGCGCAGATACTGGTGCCAATGAAGAACCTCAGGTAGGACTTGCTCGCCGTCATGGAATGCGTCACTCATTCTCCCCCTGGCATTCTGAGTGTCCTGACGACGGAGCCGTTGGTAGATCAGGACTCCTTGAGTCCCAAGAACAACATAGGTCGCAGCAATTGATAAGACGCACCCAAGAGACCACACATCACTTTCTGGAGTGACTTTCGGCCTCTTGGTGCTGATATCATCTAGATAAGCTGCCTTTTCAGGTGCCGCTGATCATAAATTTGGTCAACTAGTTGTTTTCTGATCATGTGGCTGGCGGACTCACCATAAGTTCTTGTTCCCCCCAATGATTTTGACGGCGGTAGGTACGGTGTTGCGGAATTTTTGAGCAACATGCTTGCTTCACCAGGATCGGCTAGTTTGAAGCGATCATTGACTCTCAGAATGTTCTCTGGCTTGATATCTCCGTGCCATCTAGGAGAGAGCATTTAGCTTTGGCCATAAACCCCTCGTAGACGTTAACTTACGTCCAATATTTCATGCCAGCGATCGTGATTGTGTGGATAGATGCCAGTGTCTTCGAGATCTCAAACATAGACTCCCAGAATCCGTGAATTTCTTCTGAGGATATTGGCGGTGATAGCCTCATCATTGCCTCATAGAAGTCGAAGTCGGCGAGCTCTAGAACAATATTGAAGTATTCTTGTTTGGCACCGTCATCGCCAAGTTCGAAACTCCCGAACCATCCGATGTATTGAATCATTCCTTCCTCATGTTCAAGATTGCTGAACATCTTGATCTCATTGAGGAAGTGCTCATGCTTGTGTGGCCTGAATTGTTTTAAAGCGAAGCGATATGTCTATGATGGATGTTTTGTCAGTTGTTATTCCTTTTCAAGAGATGCTTGGGAGAAGACTTACCAGACCGTTACCATTTCTCCCCTCCCCTTGTCTTTCGATCTTGGCTGATGCCATTTTCTCCCGTAGCTGCCGGCCAACGAGTTCTTCTGGAACGTCGATCGCATACAGAGTGGCGTTGTTCTCTTTTGGTCCCTTGCCCTCACGATACGGCGTGATCTTCTCCTTGCGCGAGAGTGGACTGACTGCATCGCGATAGACTTGACGCATGCCCATGTCAAATCGTATCGGACACCAGTCGAATTGCGTTTTATAGAATCGCTCGTGAAAATCATGAAATCGAGGTTTCGGTGGGGGCTTGATGCACTTCTTCAGGTATGTGAGTTCGATCGGAAGCTTGTTGAGTCCATTATCGCGGAAAAGGTTTATAAGCGACGGCGCTTGAATGTCGAGTAAGGTGTAAAATATGGCGAGATACTCGTCTTCCTCGTAATGCTGCGCTCGCATTTGAGGCGGCTCAAGTTCATACTGGAGGTATGCAGTGCGCTGCAATCTGTCGAGATTGTTGTCATACTGGGTAGAACAAGTAGCAGAACGACTCTTCAACCTTTTAGTGACATTGTCTACAAGTACAAACTCTTGCCCACATGCAGAGATTTTCGTCTCGTCCTGTCGTATTTTAACAAATTCAGACAATGCAATCTGAAACTGAAGCTTGAAATCAGATTTACTGTCACGATTCATGTCGTCAAAAGACGAAGTATAATGGTAAAATTGGGAAAAGGGGAGAGGAGGACGATGTAAGTTATTCCGTGCGACAAATCCTCAGCGTCACGCAAAAGTGCGCAAAGCAATGATGAAACGAAAGATTCCTGGGAATCCCCAGAAATTTAGGCAAGGAATTAAAGTGTCAGGTTTTAGGTGCGTACAAGTAAGATTTTAGAACAGCAGACTGTTAAGAGCGCCGGGAGCCTTGCCACTGGAAGAAAGAGGGCGTAGTGTTACTGTTCGGACTAGGAACCTCCCATGTGCGGCTGAGACCACCCCCTAGCTTTCCGTGTATGTCGCGTGCTTCTTTGATCAATGACCTACAGAATGGGATTATGATGTAGGGTTATGTGAAAAAAGCAGAAAAACACATCTCTTTCCCAAACCACATGTACCCGCAGTCATTCACGCTAGCATGGCGCTTGGTATAAATACCCAGCTGCTAAGACTGGATCTCATTCTCGAGACCGGTGAGAAGTCTCAAGCCAGGTCTCCTCTTAGGCGACAGACAAGCTGAACTAGAGGGTAGACAGAAAGAGGGGTTGAGAAGGCCCCCGGCTGCATACCACATATGCCGTCATCTGAGTTAAGCGCCATCACAGTGCGTCAAGTACAGCCTGACAGAGGTTCGCGGACCAGAAAACCGAACCTCCTCAGATCGAGTATCCCCAACACTGATCAATGCCCCCTACCACATTGTCCAATGACTGGCGAAGAGGAGAGCCCTATACCCAGCCTAGCGGAATGTCAACCAGAAGCATGGCAAAAATAGCTTGGGATAATCTTTCGTTCCACGTTACGAAGATACGAACCCAAACTCGGATTTCTCCTCGTTTTTTTGCAAATTTCGACGCCTCATCTGCTGCCTGGTCTGGCTATGTAGAACGCAGATGGGATGGGCAGCCGCCTCAGTAAGATTAAGTCAGAATCAGGCTGAGGGTGTAAGTAAGGCACATGCATTTTGATCACACCTCATAACCTTGCAATTGGGGTGCGGCTCGTCCTAAAAGAGGGTGTGAAGGCAATATATGCCAGTCTTCCCAGGCAGTCGAGGCAATTCAATCAAGCCACTGGCTTGTCTGCCTCGCGGCAGCCTGTGCCGTCCTTGTGAAGTCGGTCGACGACTGGACCGCAAATTGATCGCCCTGTCCGGTGGCACAGCATGCTATATGTCTCGCTCTCGTCTAATACCCCTCCTCAGGCCTCTCTAGGCTGGAGGGGGCTTAAAGCACATTGCTCCACTACCGTTTTTCCGCCCGAGCCTGCCTTCAAATACCGAAGTCGGCCCTCCCATCGCCTCCGTCTCCCTGGGCAGTTTTCGTCTGACAGCCTGCCTCTCAAAGACTGTGCCTCCTCACTGCCACTCGCGCGCTAGCTCGGTCCAAATAGAGAAAGATAGTTCCGGTTTTCAGAATGTCTACCGATCCCTCGTTTTCTATCAAGAAAGCTTTTAGTTGGAGGAGATCAGGTAATGACGAGATGCCGCCGCCACCTCCGCGTAGAGCAACGTTACCTCCGTCACCTCGCGGCTGGGTTGAGCAAACTGTCTCGGCATACAACTTGAAATGGCCCGATCTTCGACGCTATCTAATAGGCCTATACCAAATAACGGACGGGCGACGACTTAACGAAAGACAAGTTCGTACAGCAGTGTCCATCCCACTGACAATACTGACAACTCATAGGAGATGTACGAAGATAAGTCTTATTTTTGGGTTCCACGGGAGTTGAGTGAGGTATGTAGAACTCTAAACTTTACTCCTCTGAGTGACGGAGACTCAGACTCTGTGCTATAGGCTGAGCAAAGGACCATCGATACCCTCCGTGCTCGCCCTGACGACAGGGACCAACGAGACAACTCACCTGACCCCGCTGGAATGGTCTCAGATGACTTCAATTTCAACTAGATACTCTCTGATTGAAGCAATGGAGGCAATCATGTGGATTTGGCGTTCAATGGAAGAGGGTTGGCAGCTATCAATTATCGTAGTACGTGTGAAGAGATTATGTTATGTTTTCGCTTTATTTACATGTAACTCATAATCAGGTAAACTGAATGTACAAAACAAAGCCTCTCCATGGCTTGGATTGAGGCAATTTGTGTCACCCGCCTCTTCTCAAGCCGCTCATGGTTAGCTGTTAGGTATAATGATAAGAATGCCTCCCTATGCCAGTCTTCTTGTAGGCTTCGGTGAGACGGGGGCTGCGTCCTGCACAGCCACCAAAACGCAGCCATGTGTTCCAATCAGCTCAAAAGCCCGGGCGCCCAGTGTGTACGCCTTATGTGCGGCTTTGAACATTTTCTTCATGTGCATAGTCCCCATCACCCAAAGAGACATGACATATCATCCTCCTACCTTGCACTAACACGGCCTTCTCGAAGTCTGAGTCTCGATGCAGACAACAGAAACAGGCCTTGCAGTAGCTTTCTACGTTCCAAGCTGTCACGATGACGACTGCCACCCGTTTTACGACATCGTACAACGCGTATGGTCAATATCCACGGAACCATCTGTCTGCCGCTGCCTACGGCACAGCGGCGCTTGATCGTCACCGGAAGAGGCTGTGGGAGTGCAAGGATCAACTCTTCACTGCCAAAGGTCTCCAGAAGGGATACTATCTTCCGTTCCGAGATATATCCGCATCTGGTTCAGTGAAGAAAAGCAAAATTCACAGCGACGAACAACTCCGAGATTTTCTCTGCAGCGGTTCATCAAACGCTACAGCCAACGACAATACGTCGGTAGTCCGATCAAACTTCAAGGGAGACGAGACTTGTCGATTTGTGTTAGTCCCACTTTTCTTTTTCGACTTGCGAGGAGCAGACTCATGAACTCATCATTAGACGCAACACCCTTTGATGTGAATTCAACTCTAACATAGACAGCTTCCTGTGCGCTGAGAGCGCAATAGGACCATTGGAGATAAGTGCAATGATGCTTTTCCAGCTCTTGAGCTTCTATCAGGTCATGCTGCACTTTTTGGACTTTCTCTATGTCTATGCATCTCTCCATGGCGACGACAAAGAACTCCATTTCAGCGGATTTAGAACGCAGAAAACTCTCATAAACCCGTTACCGGCAACAATTCTGCCTGAGCTTGGCCGAAGTGGCAGACAATATCAGCTATGTTACAATCTCAAGACCGCCGTAGACAAAGGTAGTGATGGTTGGAAAACCCGGCAAGCAGCCATTCATCATCAATTTGATATTGGTCAGAACACACAGCTATGGATCATCGGAGACCCTCGTTCATCTATCAAGAAAATCATCGGCGAGCTCTATCCTGAGAATCATGTTTATCCAACCAGCTTCAGTACGTTTCAGCAAAGTTTCAAGTCATCCATGGACGTACACTTAGCTCTTGCATCTTGGGCAACGTCAGAATGGAGATGGAACATTCGGTTTCTTGAAGAGAGGGCCGAAATTTTGGTAAGTGTTTCCGAACATGCTTGGTCTGGAGGTTTGACTAATCTCGTTCCTTGATAGACCCTCAAAGCTACACTTGTTAAAGAAAAGGCACACATCGAAACTTTGGATCCCGGTTCTCTCAGCTCGGTTCAGAGATGGGAAGAAAAGACAACTGACACCGTCATGTCTATGGAATCGAATGTTAATATTCTGAAGCTTCTTCAGAGATTCTACAAAGATCTATTAAAGGACAGCGATTTTCCTCCGAGAGAGCGGCGTGCATGCCAACAGGGAGTAAAGAACTTCTGTTTTCAGCTAGAAGAGCTCATCTGTGACATGCAAATGCAAATCGCTAGAGCACGAGTATTGATGAAAGTTCTCGCTGAGCGGAAGACGATGGTAAGTGATGCCCGCGTTTCCGCTTCACCTGGAAACCCGAATTCTACTAACGCATCTGCATCATATCCTACAGCTCATTCAGAATCTGCAGGCCCAAAGTGCCATTATTTCGTCAAGACTTGCAGCTAGTATGTATGACCAAGCCGATCGCAGTGCGATAGAAGCCATTGCCGTCCGAATAGTCACCATTGTGACTGTGGTTTATCTGCCCGCAACCTTCTCAAGTGTTAGTCATCGAACGATTCACATTGCTGATGTTGGGGGATTTCTGACTTCTTGTTAGACCTTCTTCAGTACAGATGTTATCAAATATCAGAACGGCGAAATTTTCTCGAAAGTGGCCCTTGATCGCTTTCTAGAAGTGACTCTTCCATTGATGCTTCTTACTTTCGTTCCTGCAGGGATCTGGTTCTGGATCGAGAGGCGAAAGAGAAGGAAGACATCTCGCCGTGCCAAGGAAGCGTTGGTCGACTTGTTTTCTGAAGAGACGGATCTCGACAACAAATGAGGTTTCGTTAGCTCACCTTTTGACTTTTTCGCTTTTATCAGTTGCTTCCTTGAGATTTGTTTCAGACTATATGGAGTATTGGTACAAGCGCTTGAGAATCTAGAAATCGTTTTCTTTTCTCCTATGTCTGGAATGAATATCCATTGAAGAGACAAACAGCAGCAACGCGAGCGAATTTCCATGGGTTCCTCCTGCCTAGCGAATATCAATGATCAACTCTTCTCCAATTGTAACATGGGCTATCTCTACTCGTAATCGTCAATGGTCAAAATCACTTTTCACAGGCACTGTGGTCTAAAGTTTAACGAACGAGGTGCCGCTAGCTACCTTCTATAAAAGTGCCTGTTGGTATCCCTATCACAGGGTATCTAGTTGGTTCGAATCGATATACTCTCAGAGACGAAGGGTCCATTGCTGCATATTGATTGGTTCTGCGTATTTATGTAATAGGAAGATTCCAACTGTAGCTTGGAGGGACAGTTGACGTCTCGTTGATAGTCGAATTGGACTTCCCATCCAATTGTTTTCAGAGGTTAAATCCCGAATTACTGAGTCACATAACTTGCTATTCAGATCAGGAATAAGTCGGAGCAGTCTCAAAATGATTGCAAACAATTACTCGGCTGGCTCGTGGAAAACACATAAGTGCCGAGTGTAACTCAGTCCAATCCCTAGGCGAGCATGGTTCTACCATTGATCCCATGGTAAGTTGAGTAGCTATTCGCCAAATGAAGCAGATAGCAGATTAAGCAAAAGGAATATTTGCTTCTCCGGTAAACCATCCATCTATCTAACCAAACGACAGTCTTCATCGTAGACCCCCAAAACCTTCTTCCACCGAAGCCTTCTCATTCGGAATGAAAGTTCGGCCTCTCGGTCATCTCTCGGTGGACTTGCGCAAGCAAGACACCAGATTTCTTGATTTTGTTGGTGTGGCACTTGTTTCTGTAGGTTGTGTCGTTGCGAGTCGATAGTCCGATGACCTGCTTCGGGGCGCAAGTCCAGACAAATCAGAACAGGGTCGTTATCAGACATGACCTTGACAATCAGTATTCCGCTAGACACCATTGTGGCCACAGTCGGCTGTACATCGATCGAGAATCCTTCGCCGTCGCCAACGAACGTGAAAATGCTATTGTAAGGGCCGCGACTTCTCAACGGGATCCTTGCTTCCGATGATAGGAGGTATACAAGTACCTCTTGAGCATCTAGGCCCGTAACGTTCGCAATTTCGCGGGCACTTCGACATGTAACCCTACCAAGAAGAAAGTCCCGCCAGGGCCACTCTCTTACCCGAATACTTTTGGCCACGAGAACAATGAAGCCGGTAATAATCCAAGAGAACATCGTCAAATTGAAAGGATCAACGCCTGCAATACGTTCGCCAATAAGAAATCCAGAGAGCAGGCCCCCAAAGACAAGAAAAGAACAGCCAGCCATGATGGAAATGGTGTAGCTCAAACATCCAACGGTGATAGCAACTTCTTCTATTGCCCAACTCTTAGAAACGACAAAAACACTTTTCTGAGAGACAGAGAGAACATGACTTGATGTTCCGAAAATATAAGCAGGATTTGCTGACCACCAGGGCGACGACACCACTGGGGACGGGAGAGAGTAAGGCCTCAACTTGTTTTCTTTGAAGTAAGAGGTTTGAGATAAAGCTTTGCCCTGGTATCGATTTGCACTTCTGGAAGCATTTCCCATATTGCTGACATTTCGCAAGTTGACCAGAGCGAAATAGCTTCGCGCTTGTCTTTGGATCTTCGCTAATATGTCGGGCTCGTTGACGGCAACACATGCCCGGAAGATGGAGTCTGCTAAGCTTGGATCCATGCATGAAAGAGAAATCATGATTCGTATGAGATCATTCATCGATGAAATCGGCAAGTCTTCGATACTTCTGTGCGTTGAGGTCACGATGTTGAGGTAAGGTGTCGCAGTATTCAGTGCGTCAGGCGAGTGATGTTCTTGTCTTTCCATATCGCCCGAGGCACAAGCCTCGGAAATGGACGCTGCCGTATCAAGGAGCACATTTAGAGCATTTCGGCACTGGCCTATTGCCACATTGCTCCAAGAACCTATGATTTGAGCCCCCCTATCTTGATACACGATTGTTGAAAAATGTCTCTCCTCGACAGGATGAACCACGGCTGAGATATCGAATTCGTCCTTTCGGTGACCGTGGGTATTCCGAGTTCGTAAATCAGAGAGGATGCGCCAAAATAGCCGAAATAAAAGCGCAAACACCTCTGTCATATAAGATACGTACGCATCGGTGTGTGACCCCAAAACTTCCGGTCTGATGGTTTCATTTGGAGCTGGCAGAGCTGCTATCTCAACTTGGTCTGCAAGTTCGGTTTCGGACTCAGAGTCATAATAATGGATAGGGCCTTGCTCAGAGGACAGAGAGTACCCTCCTCCATAAGGCACTCGAAAGTTCTTTTCCTTGGAGATCCTGTCACTATGTTCGCGAAGAGCTGCTGCAGCATAGCCTGGCAGGTTATGCCCCAGGACCTTCATCTTAGCCGACATCTTCGCGAGCAAAGTCAACGTTATGGCATGCCAGGAAGATCCCAATCTGAGACCGGCCTTCACTTCGGGGTTGAAAGACATGATTCGAGCCAACGTGTTCGTAATGTAGTCAATCAGGGCGTAAAATATCGGAAGCTCGGATTCCAAGACATCCATGGCCGGTTCAGCTCTTGAGTTGGAAGGCTCATTTCTGCGAGCCAAGTTGATTTTCCTGGGCATCTTGAACCCGCTCGTTCGATCTTCCAGCACCATCCGACTATGCGAGATAATGACCATATCTCGGTGTTTGCGAGAAAATTCAAGGTCGGCAAGGGCTTCTTGATCGTTGAGACCATAGATGGCGAGGGCGCAAAGTAGTCGGTCGGCAAGGGACTTAAGCTGATTGAAGTTAGTGGCAGTGATTCCGCCAGGTATCAAGCTAATGAACGCAGTCTTCGAAGAGCTTTGGCTGCCCTCAGTGTCTTCCATGCAGTCAAGAAGCCGGTTGGCTTCTAAAGACCAAAGCTGGAACTCAATTCCATCTTTGATGTTGCAGCTTGAGAGACTCCCGAATCTTGGTGACACTCTCTTGCCCTTATAGTCGTTTGGAGGCTGCTGAGCATTCGGCACTTGGCCGCTCGATTGATCGTGCGGATAACGAAGTAGTCTCATCTTTTCCATCAATGCCAGCCGTCTTGATGACACCTCGGTGTTTCGGGTTGGATCGCCATAGTCTTCGAGCTCTATACTAAGCTGTTGGTCTCGAAGAGCGTCCCAACTTGCATGAGCACCTTGATCGATGGTTGGCATAGAGCCAGACATAGCTAGATAGTAGTCTGCGTTCGTCGCTAGATGGTGAATGAAGGGGAAGAACGGAACCTCTTTCACAAAATGGTCAGAGTCATTCAAAAATCGTCTGCTGACGTGAGAGAGCACACACAGCAAGCGAACCAGTGAGATTTGCAGCAAACCCCTCACTCTTCAGCCTCACCCATTTTATCCAATTCACCTGCTACAAATAGTGCCACATTGAGCCTGTCGCTCTTGTGGACTGATTCAAGTCACTCCGCAATCAAGCTATTGCTCCATAAAAACAGCATTTCAAACTCTTTCTAAGTTCGGCTCTACCTGTGAGAAAGTGGTCACCCGATCTCCATCCTCAACAAGCATCTAAGTATCAAACATCCAGAGCTTCTCAATGATGAACTCCACGCAATCTCCATCGTACTTCAAAAACTTTCAAGATACATTGCTGCAAGCTAGGCACGGCCCGGTGTTCGGCGGCACACATCTACGTGATTCCACTGATACTGATGCTGATATCACTGAGCCTGTTGGATCTAAGCATCCTCAGCGGTGCGTCTCAAACTCATCATGACCCGAGCAACGAGGGACTTGCAGGCCTGAAGGCTGAAAGTTATAGCAGAGAAAATTCCGACAGGAGGGAAACTTTGAGCCCAGATGACATACCCGCTTTTGCTCGATTGACTGAAACCCAAACCTGTGCTTCAGTCTATGGTTCTCAGGCTTCCCTTGTTTGTAGCCGACAATGGGAAAAACCTTCAAAGGATTGGGATGAATGGACAACTTTTGAAGAAGATGAAAGAGCCCTGGATGCAGTCATTATCCACCGACGTCAAATCACTCAATTTGGAGATAAGACAAGCGATAAGTTGATCTTCAGATACAACGACAGTGTCTTGGCACTCATACATGCACATCTGATATCATTCCAGGCAGAGAGCCGGACCCTCTCCAGCGACCAGAATACATTCCGAAGATTACATCGTCAACGAAATAGTCCTCCATCAACCCCAATACCATCTTATACTTCAGCAAGATTCTCCCTCTTCGGTAGCCTGTTGCCAGGTGAACAAGCAATACAAAGACTTCCAATACCTCCGCCACCAGCATCAGCACTACCGTCAGCACTAAAGAAATCCTCAAGCCGAGTTTCTATCGACTGCAAGGATTACTTGATGTTATATTTTGCGAAGGGCGCGATCAAGCAACAAGCAATTGAAACAAGGGAGTCGTCGAGCCCAAGTTCCCGCGCCATCGTTTCGTTGGAGGCGCTTTTGGGTTTCATAAAATATACTTTCCCAAAGGCAGAGAAGGCAAAAGAGGACATAAAAAGAACAGGGCTGGCTTCGTTTGACTACGTGTGGACAATATTTGAGCCTGGACAGATCATCTACGAGAAGCGGTGTGTGACAGACAGTTGGTTTTATGAGCAATGCCTGAAGGTGAAGAAAGTTGAGTACGAGTACAGCGAATTTAACGAAACTTTTGGAATCTCCTTATTCGTTGAGGAGATTGTCCATCGGCAAACACCAAACGCGGGCTCTTATCTAGTTACGAGTCGACGACGAATCAGACCCTTCACCGGGTTGAAGCCACTACAATCAGAGGAAATTGGTTGTATTCCGTTAGAGATGATCCAAGAGCCTGAACAAGAAAGCTTGCGGGCCAAGCTTATTGGTCTTGGTCGTCGTTACATACATCTCAGCTCTCATCATCCCACGATTTGGGAGTATGAAGGCCCAGTTGCGCTCGGTGGCTTTTTGAGGAACATGACAGAGGAGAGTTCACAACCACAATTACAAGATTATTCTTGGAGGTATTTGCAGGTACGCTCTTTTGCCTTGAGAGAGAATGTCTCACCTTGACCCACTGACCTCTACTCCAGAGAAGGTCAATGGAAAGAGTAGTAATCGATAATCGCACTCTATGGAGCAGCTTCCAGCCTGAAGTATTTAACCCCGATACAAGTAAACTGCTGCGCCTTGATGACGATCAAGCCGACAACGAGCAAAGTGGTCTTTCAGGAAGTGATTGGCTTTATCTCATTTGTCGGAATCGCATTTCTGCCTTCCTTCTAGGTTCGGATATCTTAGCCAGCGACCTCAACGTCTCTAATCTCCGAGAAATTCATTGGATACCGGGTCTCGTGTTTCCCCGCTATGTCGATGCTGGCTTGTTCCGGTCTTTGATACTGAAACACGTGGTCACGAGAGGAAAGGGAGCGCTGCAAAGACTCTGCCGTGGCGTGCGGAGTGCAGGCTTGCTGCTATTGCTTCATGGGCCACAAAGTGCGACTCGTAAAATTGCGAATAGTCAGTCTATCGTCCCAGAACTTCACTTTTATGGGTAAAAGGCTAATCACCTTTGAAGATATCGCAGAGTATGTACAAAAGGTTATCTGCCGAGTTCAGCCACAACCAACTCTCAATGGTTTCCAATTCCATACAGAATGTGCGTCACTGTGGGACATGATCATCCTGCTTGAGAGAGTACACACTCTGCGGTGGATTGATGGCACTCCCAATAGCTTTTGCCTTAACTCCCTCCTGCTTTACCCGGGCGTCGTCTTCCTGACGACAGATAACCTTAGGGGCGTGGACAGTATTTTGCTCGATGCAGTTGACTTAGTTACCAACTGCGAAGATGGATGGGTTCTCAGCGACGATGACATGGCAGAGAGCAAGACCCAAAGGCTATGGAGACAGCATCTGTCTGACGAGCTCCCTGGCTCGTTTGGGTCTGGGTCTGATGATGCTCTACTTCAGGAGTTCTGCCACATCCTCTCAGACTTCGAAAGCCAAGATGTTCGTATGTCCAAAACTTTACGAATGGCAGCTCGGCTAGCCGAGACACAGGGCGAAGTCGTGGCCGAGAGGCATGTATTCCGAATTATTCGACAATCTCTTGCCCTCAGAGATCACGAGAGCTTTGACGAAAGAATCCGTCAGCTGGATCGGGCCACTGCTTCGCAGACACCCTGATGAAATTGGATAGTGTTCAGCCGAGGATCTCAATTGAATCGGCTCGGAGTACATTCTTGAGAATGGAGCGGGAAAACGAGCTCGAAGCCAGGTTTCAATAGACTACGCTTTTTTCTCAATATCTTGATTTTGGATCTCTTCAGCATACCACATTGAGACCTGTATTTGGGACATTGAAGGTTCTTCCAGTCGTTGGATTCAAGCTATCTCATCAATGCTACGCCGATGGGCTTTTCTACAACACAAATGCCTCCCGAGTCCCGAGACTTTCTCTCTATGAATCAATGAACAGGTGGAAATCAAAACAAACAACCGAACAAAGGCCCTTCCCTTATGCCTTGAAGAAGTCGGTAACAGCCTTGGTGAACTGGTCAGGGTCCTGCATGGGCGCAAAGTGGCTGACACCAGTGAGGATGGTAACCTTGCTGCCGGGAATAGCCTTGTTCAAGATACCGGGGACATCGCGGTTGACAGCCTCCTCGTGCTCGGCGCCGGCAATCATGACCTTGGCACCAGGAATGCTCTTAAGCTGAGCATCGGTGAACTGCGGCAGAGTACCCTCCATGGTGGCAACCTTGGTCGCGAACTCGGTGAAGTTGGCTCCGGGCTGGAGGGTGCCGTACTCGGTCCTGCAGCGAGCGACCAGAGTAGAGAAGATGGCCGTGTCGCTGAAGGTAGCGTTGGTCTGGTCAGGCTTGGCCGAGGCGCCGAAAATGAAGGCCTTGTTGATGGGCTTGGCCGTGACGGAGTTGATGAGCGCCGCGAGAGTGGTGATGCCACCATCAGACCAGCCGACGACGTTGTACGAGGACACGCCGGCGCCGGCGAGGAGGTCGTGGATGTCGAGCGCCATCTGGTCGTAGGTGAAGACGTCGTCCTTGTTGTACGTCGTGCGGCCGTGGCCGCGGCGGTCGACGGCGATGACGTAGTGGCCCGCGGAGACGAGGCGGGAGATGACGGAGCCAAAGTAGGCAGAGTAGCCGAGGCCGCCGTGGTCCATGACGATGGGGACGCCGCCGGCCGCCTTGTTGTACTCCTGGAACCACATCTGGATGCCATTGATGGCCGTCTTGGCCGTGGAGATGGGGGTGGGGAGGTTCGGGGTCGCGGGGAGGGTCTGCCAGATGGGGGTCTGGCGGACGGCGAGGCCGGAGACGGAGCCGGCGACGGCGACGGCGGCCATGAGGGCGTTGTTGAAGTGCATTTTGGCGGGTTGTTTTGTTAAATCACAGAGAAAGAATGTGGTGACTGGTTAAGAAAAAAGAATGTGTGGGAAAAACAAACACGAAAGAGTGAGAGACTCAAGTGAGAGACGATGCGATTTGGGAAATCCAAAAGCGAAGCGATTGATGAGGGTGAGGGAGAAAAAAAGAAGAATTCTAGAATCGGCAGAGGAACCATCGTGTAATTAAATACATAATCGCCATTTGACTTCCTTTCATCTCCCCTAGCTACGGATACCTAGTCGTCTTCTCTTCCCCCGCTTGGCGAACCGAAAGGCTGGAATTGAGTTAATTGCAATTCATCCAGTCGTGGCGGAGCAACACGTCTGAAAATAGGAGGCGTACTGGCGTGGTGCCGGGATCACGACTCACGCAAGTTCGCAAACCCCGGTTTAGAGTTTTTCGCACTTTTCGCCCTCCCCGTAGCCCGCGTCCACAATCGGTGGCCTTTTCGGCCGGCCGTGCCGGGGGAGGGAGAGCCTCATCGAGACATTTTTCACTCGGGGGGCCGCGCGCGGCAAGCGAAAACGAAGAAAAACCTAAAACTCCGTAGTATACTGAGTTGTATACCATCGTGAGATGACCAGGCGAGGCGGCGACTAAGCCGGCTAAGCGGCAGCTCTTTCAAATGAACACGGACGACTCCGTAAAAGGTGTCAAAATGCCAACTATTCGTCTGCATTTCTCACAGAGGCAAATGGGGACCATGCAACTCCTTAAGTCCACCCGCGAAGGAGTTCGGACAAAATGGACTGTTCCAGTCGTAAGGCTCCTCGTACACACCCAGCACTCGGGAGGACCCGACTGGTTCATCACTTTGACACATGGGATGGCAGGGGTGTCCTGCACAGATCACGTCTGGAGTTTATGGGGGGCGATGGCTATACCGCAATGCGTTATTCAAGTCAGTCCACTCAGACTCTCACAAGCCTCAATGTCGTATTCTTCCAAGCCTTATGGGGCCTCAAGACTAAAGCCTCGAGCCGATACAACCGTCTGTCGCTGAGCCAAGCCCCGACTTCGTAGATACTCTGCAAACATGAGACCTGGCTTAATCACCATCACAATCGCGAGCTTTCTATAACCCGAGACCGAAGTCGACAGTTTTTGGACTCATGGGGACTCATTGGGACTCATGGATTGTGGCCACTTCTTCTCAAACGTACTCTAAAGCCCGAGCCACGACAGGGACAATAGAAGCTTTTATAGTATGATACCGGACAAACAACAACCGGAAAACAAAATGCAGAAAAACTACCAACTCCTTACTGATGAATCCCCTGCGCCGGTCCATGCTCAACAATCTTCCCCTTATCCAAGCGGATAAAGTAGTTTGCATCCTGAACAGCCTCAAGCCGATGCGCAATCGTGACGACGGTGCTCGTAGTCAACTCATTCCTCAGCACCTCCTGCACCCTGGCCGCCGTCTCCTTATCAATCGACGCGGTAGCCTCGTCCAACACCACAATAGGGCTCCTACGGAGGACGGCCCGGCCGATCCCAATGAGCTGCCGCTGTCCCTGGCTCAGGTTCTTCCCGCCGCCCTCGACGTGGGAGTACAGGTCCCACCCGGCGCCGAGGACCCGGTGGAGGACGACCACGCACTCGGTATCGGTGTACTGGTGTAGCGGGTCGAGGTTGTCCCGCAGCGTGCCGGGGAAGAGCACAGGATCTTGCGCGACGAAGCTGACGCGTTGCCGCCACACATGAACGTCTACGTCTGACAGCTTGTAGTTTCCGACGCGGATGGCGCCTTCGGAAGGGTGAATGGTCGCGAGGAGGGCGAGGGCCAGGGTGGACTTACCAGACCCCGTCCTGCCGAGCACCGCGCAAGTGGAGCCCCCAGGGATAGTGAAGGAGGCTTCCGAGATCGAAGGGTCCAGGTGAGGTGCGTACCTCAAAGTGACGTTATCAAAGATGACGTCGTCCGAGTGGTGAGGCCAGCTCGTGGGCGGCGTCAGTTCGCCGCAAGGCTCTTCGGGAATGTCCAGAAGCTCAATCACGCGCTCGACTGAGACAAAGTCCATTTGCAGGGTGCCGTATTGCTTGCAGAGGTTATGTGTTGCCTCGACAAATGCGGACGCAGTCGTCAAGACGAAGGCGGTCAAACCGGGCGAGAGGCCCTTGTACAGCGCAAGCAGAGTGAGAGCAAAGGTACAGATGGCGGAGAGGGCATCGAATCTGTACATGAGCCAGGCTTGAAGACTCCAGTAGAAGTGATCCATCTTCTGGAAGGCATCCGTGACGACAATGTTCATGTTCTGGAAGTGGTGCTGGGCCTTGAAGGCGCGGATGGTTGCCAGCCCGTCGAGCAAGATACCAAAGTTAGACATGAGAGGGCTGAGGGAGACCATCTCGAGCCTTCGTAGACTCTGAGAAGTGGGCAGGAATCGCATAAAGATGTAGACGAACCAGAGCGTCATACCAACCGAGAAGAGGAGGAAGAGTGGTGTGACGGAGGCGATGACGACCATGCTTGAGAACCAAGTGATGGACTGAACAGCAACTTCGCGTAGCGGTCTCATGATGCCGCCGTCGATCATTCCAATGTCAGAGACGAGGCGGTTCATCAAGCGCCCCACTGGAGTAACGTCGTAGAAGCGGAAAGTTGCACGGCCGACTTTGTTGATGACCCTCTTGAAGAGATCCCTTGCCGCGGTAATGATCATGAGTAAGGTCAGTCCTTCAGACAACGTGTAAATCACAGCCTGAGTAACCGCGATTCCAAGATAAACCCACAGCCAGGGCCTCAGATCGGTGTCTGGATCCGGGAGCCCAGCAAAAAGCTTGGAGAAGTCAATGCCGTCGGACGCTTCCTTTGTCGATATCTCGTGCTTGTACGCTTCACCCCAAGCTTTGAGGAACCAGTAGTTGAGGAGACTGCCCAGTCTGAACAATGCAAAGACCAACACCAACACAGCCCACCACTTGAGCTTGCCAGCCTTGATATAGGTCCAGTAAACCGACAACATGACGCCGCCGTGGGCGCGGTGCTCCTCTTCGATAAACTTGGACGGTATGGCGGCGTCTTGCTGAGTTTCGTCGAGGGTGTGCTCATGCTCGTCCTGGTGAGCAGCCGGATCCTCGTCTTCCAGGAGAAACTTGGCGACTTCTGCCGATGCCTCCTCCGAGTTCAAGACACGAGCGGTGCCGTCGACCACTTCGACCATCTGGCCAGCGAGATGAAGACACAAGTCTACTCTGTGAGTGACAAGCACCACGGTCCGGCCTTCCACCAGCGGGCCTTGGAGGAGCTTCTTTACGATGGATTCAGCCGTGTTATGGTCCAGAGCAGCGAGAGGGTCGTCCAGCAACAGCACGCGAGACCGGCTGTACACAGCACGGGCCAATGCAACCCGCGCCCTTTGTCCGCCCGACAGACCGATACCGTTCTCGCCCATGTCAGACAGGTCTCCATGTTTGAATGTGGCCAAGTCGGGAAGCAGGGCACACGCATCAAGAGTCTGGGTATATCTCGCAGAGTCAAAGGGTGCTGAAAAAAGGATGTTGTCGCGGATGCTCATGTGTTGGAGCCAAGGGCTTTGAGCGCAGTACCCAATGGGCTCAGTTGGGATGACCACATCGCCTATTTGCCGGTCGAGTTCTCCGAGAATCGCCTGCAGTAATGCGGTCTTGCCAGAGCCGACTTTGCCAAATATGACCGTAAGACCCTGCGGGAAGCTGATATCGAGATTTCTCAGCACGGGTTGCTCGTATCCAGGCCATGCAAATGTTGCCTTTGTGAACTTGATATCGTTTGTGAGGTGGTCCGAGAAC